CAATGAGGTCTAACAAACATGTTGACTTCATTTATTTACTCAGCAAACGTTTGCAAAGGTCATTTTTAATCATTGAAATCACTTTGATTTGTGTGCCATCTTGCATCGCCACTTTCTTAAAAATGTGCTTCTGTTTTACTAATTGGGGCATTAAAAAGTGCACCATAGATCATGATCTCACTGAAAGACATTTCTGGTATTAGATCATTTGGGTTTTTTTCTGTTCAGGGTTGTAGGTAAACAGATAGCAGAAACACAGATGCTAGATATTAACATACTTTTGACATCTGATCATTGTACTTTCTCTGTATGAAAGACAAATATTAAACCTTGCTATAAAACAATATGCCAAATTACATTTAGGATTCCAGAAATCATTTGGTCAGTCTCTTTTGCCCCGAGCATGATTTCTCCCACAGCAGAGGTAGTTTCAGACGCCCAGACAGCAGCAGGGAAAAGCAATTTAAACGTGGCACTAACTTTGGTGCTTTAAATGCATAGAGTTTTCTTTAATTATAAAGCACAGATAGCTTTGAGACTGCTGCATGGTTTCACCGGCACATTTTTCTTGAAGCAAGGAGGTATGTTTAAATTGAGGTAAGAGGAGGACAGTGGGGTTGCAGGGGGATTTACTCTTACTGAGAACAACTTGTGTAATGGAAAGTCAGGTCATTGATCAATACCAGCAGTTGACTGACAGTAGTTCCCCGTAGTTCCCCAGTTACACAAATCTTTGACTTTGGCTTTAAAGCCATTCGGACAACTAGAGATTTGAAACATTGTTGAAATCATAGATCTCAAAAGAGTTTCTTTTTGAGTAGACATCTCAACCTAACTCCTTTTTTCTTTCCTAATTTTTTAAATGGGAACTTCTCATAAATAGCTCATAGGGAAATACATTTTGACTCCAATATTTACTTCTTTGATGGTTTCAGTTGCACCCACAGCACATTCTTCACAGAAATATTCCCTCACTATATGCTATCCTTAATGTGCTATTTCAATTCACTGTAAGCCATGTCAGCTGGTGGTAAATGCTATGGGAAAGAGGAAAGTCCAAGTTTCCACTTTCAGTGCAGCAATATTGATACGTGGTTGTGAAAGAGGAACCGAGCAGACACGAAAAGTCCCTGCATGATTTTTCCTTCCGTCTGGAATTGAGATTTAAATGAACGTCTCTCATGTCAGGGCATTTCATGAGTCTGTGAAACTAGGTGGATATGAACGTTTTACAGAAATCTCTATTATTCCTAGAGATGTCTGGACTTTCCCTGCTATGAAAGTGAAAATGTGTGTTGTGATGAAAGCATTGAGTGTTCAGATTACAGTGTAAAGTCAATATATTTAATAATCCACCTTCAGTCTTTAGCCACTGCTACCCTAAAAGGTTGTAATGGCATCATAGCATGATGGAGATGATGAGAGCAGTTTGTGTAAAGTTACTGTATTCAGACACACCCTAACTGTTTGTTTTTATGGGGTATTGTCCCTTTTAATGTCGTCCTGCTCAACAGGCAGAGGAGAGTTGAATTTGCATACACTTTCAGATGTCTTAAAGGTTCAGTGTGTAGAATTTAGTGGTGAAGTTGCAGCTGAACACCCCTCACCTCACCCTCCCATTCCAAACATGAAGCAGAACCTGTGGCAACCTTCAGTTGTCATAAAAACTCAAAAGGTGTTTAGTTTGTCCAGTCTGGGCTACTGTAAAAAACATGGCAGCCTCCATAGAGAGGACCCACTCCCGATCTAAATATAAAGTTTTCAAATATAAAGGACTCATTCTAGGGTAGAGAAAACAACAATTTGTTCAATTAAGATGAAACACACTGGTGAAAACATCACTATAATTATTCTATATTCAACTTCTGCCAATTGATCCCTTTCACCTAAATCTTACGCTACTGGACTTTTAACTTGCCTGAGGTTATGTCAGATTATTTGCAAATTAGTTTTTACAAAGATATTGTCTTTGTTTTCTATCCCTCTCTCTATAACAAAAGCTGTAAACATAATTTATTGCCTACTCTTTAATGGATGTGGAGACAGATGTAACTGACATCTTGCTCTGAATCATTGTTTTCTCGGTGAACAGAAGCACTAATATAGTTATACCCTAAAACACGACTTAACCTGATAATTCCATGATTTACCCTGTAAGGAAGGCCAATCCCTGCAACATGAGTAATAGGTGGAACACACACACAACTACACACACACAC